TTGGGAATGCAGTGGAGAAGAAGGATGATATTGTTGCAAATGCAACGAAGAAAACAGGAAGTAGTGTCCCTTTCGAGAAGGGTGACCTTTGCCATGAGAGGGATGGTGTGGGGAGCATGTTGCTATGCATTGCTGGTGAGGTCGAGGTCGATGTTTAGGTCGAGGTCGAGGTCGATTGTAAAATCTTGGTCCCGCGGGGTCACTGTGTTTTGTGCCAAGCGTCAAGCGATGTCAAGCGTACTACCTCGACCACGAGCTTTTCAAATTGTTGAGACCATTTGTCAAGGAGGAGAACGAGAAAGACATGCTTCGCATGACCCTGCAACGCCTTTGGCAAGCCAGCGAGCCCGAGGCCGCGGCCGCCGATGTGGGCAAAGCTGAATTCTGAAATGTTGAAGGATGTTTAAGACGTTCTGTTTATTCTACTAGGAGCAAAGGGCATCGCTACTAGGGGCTCCTGGCCTTACTACTAGGAGCAAGGATGCTACTAGGAGCAAAGGGCATTGCTACTTCATAAACATTAAGAGTCCATAGAAATCGAGACGGAACCGTTTTGGACGGGCTTGGATCCCACCAAATGCAACATCTGAAAGAGTCATGTCAGCGTTCGATCACTGGACTTGTCCAAATTTATGTTTCAAAGACTTTCTGGGAGGAATGTGCCAAGAAGGGTTCCTGTGTGTTACTTATGCACAGTGTGATGCACGTGTCAACCCTGGCCTTGAATGCGCATTTGGTACATAGATGTAGTCGTACACAGATAAAGAATGTGTCTCAGATCGTTTGCCCAGGTAGCGATAGTTGCATCATGCATCAGGACCTTGTTTGTTCGCTTTATGTTACATGCGCTTGTATTTTGGACTACAGCCTGTCAGAGCATGCCCATTGGCCTTTGGTTCCTTAGCAGAACTGGAGTTGTACATGGAAAGGGAGCAGCTTAGTAGCTTGCTTGACCTCTCTCATGCATTGAACATTGGCCTGACACAGATAGTTCAGGACTTTAGATGGAATGGATTTTGACTGCCTTGTCACTTGTTGAGTAAGCAATAGCCTTCGGAAACAAACACAGAGTAGCTAAGAATCAATGCATGGAATGCATGAAGCAGAACACTTGGCTAAGTCACTTCAATGAGCTCTGGGACTAGTGACAATTTAGTGACCTCCACCTTCGTTCCTCTTCGTTCCTTTTCGTTCCTTCATGGAGATACCCGTGCCGGGCCAACCTCCTTTGCAAAGCCCTCCGCTGCGTGCGGATGTGGATTTGGCGGTGCATGTCCCGAGGGACAGGCGAAAGAAGAATCGCAGCGCGTCGCAGCGGTTTTCGAAAAAAAGACTTTGTCCATTTGGATCCGGTCCACTCCTGGCCTCTCCCGTTTCGTTGTGCGAAGACTCGGATCGAAGACTTGGAGACTTGGCCTCCCAAAATGATTCCATTTGGCAGGTGGTGGTCGCCTGTGGGTCTACTGGCAGTTCTGCCGGTCACAAAGGCAGGTTGGAAAAAAACTTGCTAAACTCCACAAACCTGTAGGACCATAGTCCAAAATTGACAGGGATTGATGCATGTGACGTCAATAGTTTTTGAGCCTAGCCTGGCAACCTCAGGCCACTAGAAGATTGGTGAACCGGCGCAATGTCAACTTCTCAGATCTCTGGTTTTGAGCATGAAGAAACATCATGCATGACATTTGCCATGAACGTGTTTCTTTTCTTTTATGGGTTTGTCCGTTTTTACTTTGTTCCGTCGCAGACGTGCGATCTGTAATTTGTGTTGCTTCCATTCATTAAAAACTATGCGCTATTGAACAATTAGGACACGAATCATTTTTGTAAGGCCTCTCATACAGGGATCAAGCAAATCTCTTGTCTTTTGCCTTCTCACTTTGTTGGGATGAAATGTAGACGGATTTCTAAACTCCGAGCAAGGTGATCGGGATGTGGCGCCACAGACAGGTCGTTCGGAGGGCCAAAAGTTCCTCCTTTGATGAGCAGCCTGGCTGCACACATGCACCACCAAAGTTTGGACAGCGTATCATTCGTTTGAACACTTCAACCATGTTGGGAGTTCAAATTTTCAACCATTGCCTCCTCCACCAACTGAGGTTCGATCTGCTGGATACGATTCTTGGTGTCTAGAACATTCTTTCCATTATGGCTCTTGCGGTATTGTTTTTGAATCCAACGATATCCAACGTACATTTGATATTGCCTTGTTAGTGCGCTTACCACATTCAGCAAAACACTCTTGACCATTCCGTCGCAACACTGATCGCATTCGCGATTAATCTAAATTTGTAAACAAGACTCTCTTTCCGAAAGAAGAAAGCACATGAAATTCTGAGGAACTGCGATGGCGTGCTATCTCGTGCAGAGTTTGCACAGCACCAGGAAAAATTGTCCTTGTCAGAAAGCAGCACCCAGGTGGGTTCATTCCCGGCCTCGGCTGTTGAACAGGGCTACTGTACCGTGGGATCGGTTGACGTCCCCAATTCATCCATTCATTTGGAAGGGCCATCAGGCGAAGTCGAAGCACCCACAGCCATCGAAACAGTCCATTCTGCAGTCAACCGCCACTCGAATTTGAGAAGTTCTGCCAGCAAGATGTAAAATCACGAAAGGTAGCCCTTTAGGGGATACCTTGAGTTTGTCTTGCGAAGCAAGTGTTGGGACGTCCGGGTCTAATAATTGATCGCTCAATTCAGACCCCCCCCCCTGAAAAGTAGAGCCTACCTGTACAGGGTTCCACTCCAACAGCTGATATAGTGTGTCCATGCTTGACTGCTTCAAGGCTCAAAGAGCAAGAGGATAAGACTCTGCGCATAAAAGACACTAGCGGTTTGCACCTCTACCGTGTACGCCCTAGTCACTCTTTCAGTGGTAGCGGAGCTCGTGATCCTGGAAGACCCAGGTGAGCTCCTTTCCTAGGCATAGACTTGCTAGTGGGCAAACAGCCATGGATTGGATAGACGACTGGGAAGAGCCTGATGCGGATGTGGCTTATGAGCCAGCAGCCTATGTGAATAGGCATGTGAGAAGAGAACCAGCAGCAATAGCAATGACAACACAGGTCACTACAAAGGTGCCCCCATCTTATGATGGAAAGACTTCATGGTTTTCCTATGAGGATGCCATAGACGATTGGTGTGATATCACCGAGCTGGAAGATGAGAAGAGAGGACCAGCATTGAGAAACAGATTAGAAGGAGAAGCAGCTGTATACAAGCGTGTTTTAGACAGAGATGCATTGAAGGCAAATGATCCACCAGGAGCCGGCGTAGAATATTTCAAACGAGTACTACGACCATATTTCGTGAAAGGATCAACCAATGTATTCCTGTATAGATTTATGCAATTCGTGCGCTTCAATCGAGGATCAGCTGACATGATGAAATGGATGACAAGATTCCAGATTTTACTCCAAAGGCTTATGAGCAGTTGGATGGACATGTTAGAACCAGTCACTCAAGCACATCCACAGGTCCTAGCTCAGATGCAGGCAGATGCAGCGTTGACTGGAGTAGCACCAACGGCAGAAAGGATTCAGGAAATCATGCAGACCATCAATGGCAATATGAGGACTTTTCATCAGAACGAATTTCCTCTAGGAGAGAATCTCATTGCCTTACTCATGCTGTCACTTGCAGATTTGTCTCAGGACCAGCGAAACACTTTGACTTCTTTGATGACTCATCGTGGCAGGGTCCTGCAGCAATACACTACAACAGAGTTGAGGACAGTGTTCATCGAGATGTTCTGCACGACGAAGACTTCAGTAGACAATCCTTTGATGCAGCCGACAGGTGCTGGAGGTAGAAGATCATTTCTCGTACTAGACGAAGGAGAACTCGATGGTACATTTGGCTATTGGGCCGAAGATGAAGAAGATGGAACTGAAGGATTTTTAGATGCCCTGGACGATGTCTTTTGGGTATATGATGATCAAAACTTCTCGTGGTTCCAAAGGAGATTCCAAGGAAGAAGAGCCAGAAAAGGCAAAGGAAAAGGAAGAAGAAAAGGAAAAGGTAAAGGAAGATCAGGCCGCAGATTCTTCAGACCTCGTGAAAAAGGAAAAGGAAAGAGACGAGGTAAAGGCCATTATGCTGATGAGCAACAGACAACATATACAGAAGAGTACTTTGAAGAGAATCCTTATGAGGACACTTGGGAGTCAAACCAAGTAGCATATGATGCCATTCTTGCCGAAGATGTGAATGACTATCTTCAAGGAGAATATGATGATGCCAATGACTTTTGGCAACAGCTTGAAGAAGCATGGTTTTCCCACAAAGGAAAAGGAAAAGGCAAGAGAAAAGGCAAGAAAGGAAAAGGAAAAGATAAAGGAGATGGCAAACAAGATGCAAACTATGCAAATCAACAACAGCCACGTTCTTTGCCTGCGCCTTCAAGATCTTCACAAGCATCAGGAGGCCAACAAGGTTTCTTTGCACATTGTGTGACAGCAGCAGCTGAAGTCCATGACAGTGAGGTGAACTTGCTGTCAGGCATGATGACCTCATGTCAAGATGAAGCTGACTGCGCGGTCAACAATGGTGGGACGATCTTCAATGGCATGAGTGCCCCTGTGAGGTACTCTTTGTCAAAGGAGATGCTCACAAAGGCTCCTGATGGCTTTGCGCTTATGAGCGCTGAGGAAGAAGTGAAGGAGATGCAGGCCATTTCATTTTTGACTGAGAATCGCTTCCCGCCGACTATTGCAATCCTGGACATTGGATGCACTAGAGCTATGGGATCAAGGCGAGCAGTCGACCATTTTTGCAACTATGTCGACAATCACCCAGATTGTGGATTATGGTACTCTTTTGAGTCTACCAAGAGCAAGTTTTACTTTGCCAATTCCCAGAAGGCTACTTGCTCTCAGAAACTGGTGATTTACATGTATGATCGTGCATGGACGATCCACCATACAGAGTTCGACATAGTGGAAGAAGGAGAAGTCCCTTTGCTTATGAGCTTGCCACAGATGAGGAACTTAGGCTTTGAACTCAGGCTGACACCTCAACATGCTTATCTGACATCGGTGCCTCTTGGTATCAAATATTTGGAGTTGAAGGTTGCAGCCAGTACTCATCTTGTCTTGGACTTCCAAGATATTGCATGGTATCTGTCTGACGTGAACTTGCAGACTCGGCGCGAGAAGAGTTTTTACTCTCACTTCACTCACTATGAATATGGTCATATTTCTGTTGATCACAATAGTGATGAAGATGTAGCTGAACATGCATATCCTGTGGTTGACTACTGGGAAGTAGATGTTCACAAGAGAGAACTGATACGTCACCACAAGGATTATAGAAAGATTCTTTTTCCAGCAACTAAGTCCTGTCCTGTAGACAC